CCCTGCCATACGAATGTGGAATTTCCACCGCTGGCTCGGGCCTGTAGACGGGAGATAAACACCAATGCCACAGTTCTCATTTGAACAGAACATCGCTCACTATTTTGATATCATTATGTTGTTAAAATATGCACAATGTAAGACTACAGTATAAAATACAATATATATTTTTTTATCACTCTTCAGTTGCCGACCGCCATATCACATAAACCTTTTTTGTACAAATAATCGTATACTCGTATATACTGTACATACGATAGAAATCCTTGCAATAGCCTTAACGGACTGTTGGGGCAAGTGCTGTGAGCGAGCACCTATGAAGGCCGGCAAGGTCACACGAGGGGGTAAGTGCCCAGTACCATGCCCGGCCGCCTTTGTCTCCCTAGTGGCGATGCCATCACGTCGCTCCAAGTACCCATTTGAGGCCGATTCGACCTAGGGGAGGCCAAGAGCTTGTTCACACAATCGTCACTGGCGTTGATCGTGAGCGGGAATCTAATTCGGGTCGCCGGGGGTTTCGTAGCGCAGCGCGCTGACAACTGAACCACCACTACTCACATATGTGCATCACGGATATCGTTTAATATTCAATTTGAATCACAGTTCCTATGATCACTATTACATTGCTTTCATAGCTTTATTTTGGTGATTTTGAAAACGTTTGCTTTAGCCATGTTTGTTTGTTGAAGTACAGAGCCTGATAACTTTGGATCTAAATTGTCTTATGATTGTTATTGTTTGACTTGCATCCCACTGGGATTTTTGCACACAGCATTGATATTCGGTGCTTTTTTCTCGAAGATTTTTCAGTTTTTTCCTGGATGTTTCTGTTGTGCGTAGTCTCTTTAAGATGTTCTTTGTTCATTTTTTGTTTGTTGCGGTTGCACCCGAGTCAAGAGCCGCATGGCTCACAGGGCTACACCTAGTACATGAAAACTGAAAACGTGGAATAAGTGTACACACACACACAGACATCAAGCTTCACTTTGTAACACGTCGGCTTTCGCGACCAATATTATCATGGTAGAGGTTTTTTGTTGGGTTCGATCGCGTGCATATGTGTAGCACACGTGCTGGTACTTTTCATCTCACAAACACAGTTACAGTATGCTTAGGTTTTTTTTTCGGTAAAGTCACGTAGGTAAAATTTTTAATTAATAAAAGTAAAATAAAAATAAAAACACAACAAAGGCTCATTCCTAACAGCGTGCTTCAGCCGCACCGAACGTCACAAAAATAATATTCAGGGTCTACCTTGGCTCCTCCCACCCTCAACCAGTATATATAAAAATACTGTTTCTTAGAATTTCTCTTACTTGATACAGCTATCGTGCTGTGACGGTTCCACCTGAAGACGGAAGCTTGTGTTGCCTCCGAGACGTCGTGATTTTTATTTTATTTTACCTTTATTAATTTAAATTATTTACCTACGTGACTTTACCGAAAAAACCTAAGAATATGAATCCTTGCAGTCACGAAAGCTTCAAATCTACAGTTACAGTACACAACGTGCTCTACCGGGAACGCTTGTCGTTTGCCGAAAAGCGAATCACCACGAATGTGCCCGATTTCTATCAGTGCTCGTGAGCCGAGCAGGCGCTGAGCCCGGTTCGTTCTTGAATGTAACACACAGTCGAGGAAAACCAAGCGTCGTAGGCTTGGTTTGTGCGTTGGCTACGATAGAGGAGTACAGTCATAAACTTAATACATCTGCGTTGAAACTTTAAATATAAATGTGTCTTTAAGAGCCGCCACTACCCGACACAGCCAATTAGTAAGGTTTGTCACGTCAACAAAACACGCAAATTCGTTACTAGTACGGCACAACCGGTGTGTTGGTGAGTAAATTGTAAACGTTGTGGATTTACTCACCATCACACCCGTGTGCTCAACTAGTAACTAATTGTCACGCTTTATTTAGGTGACAAATTAAACAAATTGGCTGTGTCGGGTGGTAGCGGCTTTTAACGACGCATTTATATTTACGCGGTCTAACCTAACAAAAAAAATCTGTTATGAATATCAAGCTTCCTTCGATTCGGCTCTCCATGAACGCAGACATCGTGATATTGATCTTCTTGGTTCTTTCGGTAAAGTCACGTAGAAGGGAAATAATAAAATAAAAAAATAAAACATAAAAAATATAATAATAAAATAAAATAAATATTACTTTATTATTTCCCTTCTACGTGACTTTACCAAAAGAACCAAGAAGATGAATCGCAGTCACGAAAGCTTTACATCGAAATTGAAATCGTGCTATTGCTTAACGCGTCGCGTGGGACGTGTCTAAACAATCATCGGCGTGGTAGGACTTAATAAGCATTAGAACGACGTGGGGGATGGGGGGGTGAAGTAGTAACATCGGTAAACGCGGAAAGACGGAGCCGCAATGATGGGTCGTGCGGACCGTAGTTTGGGCCAAACGCAGAGAGAGAGAGAGCGAGCGAGAGAGCTACCGGAGGCAAACGCCGCTCAGCCAACAGAGAGACTGGAGCGCGCTCACACCGGCAAGGTGGAGTTTGGATCGGTGCAAACGCAAGAATATTGAGCTCTCTCACGACAAAGCACGCTCGTGTATATATATTTTAAAAAACGCAACTTATAACGGCCGCCGCGTCAATTCTGCGGATCCAAAACATCGATCCATGCGTGCGAACGTTTAAACAGATAAAATAAAATATAACCCCAAAAGGGGTTTTAAATGGGTTCACCATTTGTCGCAACGTGAACTCGCCGATACATCCGTAAGCGCGTTGTTAGCGAGCGCCTATTGAGGGCGGCGAAGCAACTACCACAAGGGGTGGAGGTTGCGTCCACAAACGAATTCCCGACCTCCTTGTACCCCCCCCCCCCCTCAGCGATTGTGCATATGCGTTCGCTCACTTGCACATCAACATTTGAGGCTGAGTGAACCTATAGGAGAGACGCGGATTTGTTCAGATAATGATTGCACGCTTGATGGATGCAGGATCCAACGAACCGATGGACTTGATTGTAAAATATAAAATATATTTATTTAAATGCGGTGATACGGTTAAGAATATATTTTAATTTATAGTTATAGAATATCAATATTTATTGAGTCCAATAAATGATCAAATATAAATACATATTTATTTAAGTATATATTCACGTTAATTTATAAATTATAAAATGTGTTTTTATCCACTTCAATGTAATACGGTTGACATAACATGTGTTTCATCAGCACAACTGATTGCTGAGCCAAGCTTGGTGGTGTTCATTCAGACGCTGTCTTTCCGACAGACCTGTTCTTCACCTGAGGACGGCTGCTTGCGTTGTGGCCGAAACGTCGTGAGAATTGTATTATTTTTATGTTTTATTTTTATTATTTTATTATCTCCATTCTACGTGACTTTACCGAAATAACCAAGAAGATGAATCCCTGCAGTCACGAAAGCTTTAAATCCAAATTCGTGTGATAGTTGATACGTGATTCGTTCCTTCGTTTCTCAATCCGCTTCTCCTGGTGAGGATCGCGGCGGCAGCGTGTTGAGTCGTGGCGGTCCGGACCTCCCTTTCCCTCGCGACAGACTCCAGCACTATACACTACTACACTACACTATACACTACACTATACACTATTACACTACACTATGCACTACTACACTACACTATACACTACACTATACACTACTACACTACACTATCCACTACTACGCATTGCACTATACACTACTACACTACACTATACACTACTACACTACACTATGCACTACCACGCATTGCACTATACACTACTACACTACACTATACACTACTACACTATACACTACTACACTACACTATGCACTACTACGCATTGCACTATACACTACTACACTACACTATACACTACTACACTACACTATGCACTACTACGCATTGCACTATACACTACTACACTACACTATACACTACTACACTATACACTACTACACTACACTATACACTACTACACTACAGTATACACTACTACACTACACTATGCACTACTACGCATTGCACTATACACTACTACACTACACTATACACTAATACACTACACTATACACTACTACACTACACTATACACTACACGATAATGCACTGCACTATACACTACGAGACACTAAATATACTTAAAGCCTTCGTGGCTGCAGGAATTCATATTCTTTGGGTCTTTCGGTAAAGCCACGTAGATAGAAAAAGAATAAAAATATCACGACGTTTCGATCGCAACACAAGCAATCGTCATCAGGTGAAAAATATCACATTTTTATCCACGAACGTCAGTTTAACGCCACACTTATATGTACGCGATCTAACCGAAAAAAATAGTGGGGATGGAGCAGTTGTTCACCCATATTTCACCACGCTGGTCAGTGCGGGTTTGCTTCGTGTGTGGGAGACGCCGCAGGACCGATAGGTTTGGATTCCACTCGCCACTGATGTTAGCCGTGGGCAAGAAACGAACTCGCGTTGCCGTGATGCAGCTTTGCTATCCGCTACACCACCGCATCTCCAGATTATGCACACGTGTATAGACGACATTAGTACGTTGATTAACACACGTGTTATTTTATAGAGATATATTTCCGTATGTATATATACGTAGCAGGCTATCTGCCCCATGGATCGTGATGATATAAACGTTAAGGCATATTGGCCTATTAAGGCATGCAGGAAAATGGACAAAGGTATTAATTTAGTGGTAAAATGAACCCTTGTTTGATTCGTGCTTAAGTTTCTTTTTGGGATATGTCGTGGAGGTTAAAAGTAATCTTTCAAATGGCTACCACTCCACGAGCCGACAGGGCAAATGAAATAAAGTTGTTACGTAATGTGCAAATATGGCAATGGGATTGGTTGACATTATACCTCCACGATCTAACCCGCACTAAAAAAAACTCAAATATAAATATATATATATGACCTTGTATTGTATATTTGCGTGTTTGTTGCGCGTGTTAACTTATGCGAAATTAAAATTATCCAAAAAAATATATGTGGGCAAAAAAAAACAAGTTTATTTCGTAAATAATAAAAAAGCACGTTTTGTACACCACCATACATTCATCACAGCATTTAATTTAACCACTACGTATGTACAGTACATGACGACACAATCTTGTGTAATTACGAATTATACTGGTGGCTGCCAGATGATAAGGCACACATTATGGATCTAACACTGGGTGCATATCTATCTGTGTGTGAGCGTACACAACAGATGTCCTGAAAATGAATACCTGCTATTCACTTGACCCATCCCCATGTATTACGCTCTCTGATTAGTACGGTTGGCTACGTACGGCGCGAAAGAAGTTCAACATCATGCATGATACAAAGTTTTCCATTTTCGTTCGCGAGAATGTCATGAATATTTGGCCAAACACTCTCATCTATCTATTCCTTATCTGGAAATAAAACTCAACACATTACGCAATAACACAGTGTGTTGCATTTGTGTCTTAATTGGTGCAGCTGCCAACTCAGCATCGCCAAATCATCTATCCTCGTCACAAGCCCTTAATTCGTACGTGGAATTGATACCAGATCATCAGCACCGTGTAGCCATTTGTGAACAGCGTCCTGTAGATACAGCAGCGTCATCACAAAAAAAACTGTCCCAATTCATCTTTAGTCTTTCAAGGAACACGGGGATTGTGACAAAGTGTGGGTGCCACATCTGGGCTGTTCACGGTCGATGGGGCATATAAGCAGTCGATCCAATCCGTGCTAGTTGTCCCTCGTGTGTTCAGGCTCACTGGTACTAAAGTTCCGGAAAAAAATATATTAAGCGCACGGTGTCCTCAAACCTATTGTCGAATTGCAGGAGGCCTCACGCCATCTGACAAATGCTTGACAATTCCATGAATCATTATATACAACTTGGGATAAATTCAATAAAAAATTATATAACAAATAAGAGGTATTAGTTTTGGGGTATCTCTCATATAAATTATGTGTAAATGCTTACACGTGTGCATGTGTGTATGTAAATATATGTAAAATGATACTGATTTGGTTTTGATATAGCCATCCTCCGACACGTCGCAGTGCATCAGGAGCGCTTGACATCTCACATCTCGACACATTTGAAAGGGGCACCTCCAGCAGCAGCAGCAGCTGTCCCTGTACGACACAAAGGCTTAACTCAGCCAGCACCTGGCCTGCAAACGGGCACTACACATCTGCCAAGTATACCTACGTAGCTTGCACGCGTGAACAAAGGTCAGAACATCTACACGTTTTGGAGTTGCGGTGATAGCGGACGGGTGCGTGTAGAGTGCTCGATGATGTCAATAACGCACGTGGTTTTAACTGTCCTAAAATATCCACGTTTGTTTGGAAATAAAACCTCAAAGGTCTTCAGTGTCGGCTCATATTCGTCACGCGTTGAAACTCACAGCCATTTGCTATACCCACGCCCCAAACCAGATGATTCCGCACCATAGGGTGAATTATATCTCATCATCTTTACAGTACAAAAACATCGTACTGTACTGTGTTAGTTTAATTACGAATGTACATATACACAACACATCAACTGTACACATTTAAAACCAAAAAAACTGATTTTATGACAAAACGGAAACCCATTCATAGCTCATAGTTTTATACCACCGGTGTCTTCGATTGGAGAAAATGTTGCACGACAATTCTCCGTCTGGTCAATTTATCACACAGTTCATACACAAAAACCCATAAACATTCAAGCTGTTCAATAACAGCCCATACAGGCTACCTGAACATCCATCAACACTACCTGAAAATTACACATCGCCTGAACATTCGAGAATTGTGTCAAAACGTTGGAGACATCCCACAGTCGCCTAGACATTACAGGGACTCTTCTACTTACAAACATTCGACTTACGAACTTTCAGAGATACGAACAAATCTGTCCGTATGTCCAGTTGCCTGTTCGGTCCGAGAGTCGTAAGTTCAACCACCACGCAATAGATGGCGGTGGTGGCATCTACATCTGCAGAACGTGAAGAGCCAGGGGCATCTACATCTACAGGAGATTATACAACGAAAAGCCATTCCCCGTGTTGAGTGTACATGGCGTACAACATGTTTGGAATCGACAGGGGTAAAATTGGACTAACGAACAATTCGATTTTCGAACAGACCTCTGGAACCTAACTCGTTCATAAGTAGAGGAGTCCCTGTACACGTTTTTATTTGTCTCTGTGAAGTGTTCTCCAGGGTGGTCCAAAAGTCAGGACACGTGTAGGGTTGTTATTATAATTATTTCAACAAATTACACGGGGTTCTAAAGAATTCCATTAACATTAATGCACGATGAATACAATTCTCGTTTGAAGTGAACGTAGGTCTTCCCCCCCCGCCCTAAAGATGACAGGCGTGTAATCTTTCAACATTCATCAATTATGTTTTGTCTCAATTCACTCCGGGTTCTTGGTCGAGTTTTTGTAAACAACGAATTTCAGTTGACCCAACAGTACGGAGAAGAAAAATCGATATGAATAATGTTAAACGATTAAATATTAACTTAAATAATACGCAAGTAAAATGTTTGGATGCCTGTGTTGAAATAAATTAAACCTCCCTATGTGTCCTGACCATTGGCCTACCCTCTATGTGAAATAGTAGAGAAGTTTTGGAACAAGTCACACGGAATGTACCTGATCTCGGAAGCTAAGCAGGGTTTAAGCCTGAATATTGCTTTGATGGGTGACCGCATATGCACAAGCAGGTGCTATAGGCGACGCGACATTGTGGAGCGGCACATTGTTGTACTGCACTATATCCTGTGTCTATGCCCACCCACCTTCTCCAACCTGCACGTACAAACGTGGTGATAGGTTGTCACGGATAATGATCCCCTGTACAGCCTGGACGGACTGTTGGGGCAAGTGCTGGCACGCAGCACGAATGGGCTGGTCGCCTACACCATGCTCTTCCGCCTTTGTCTCCCCAGTGCTCATGTTTACACACCGCACGAGTTTACACACGGTACTCGTCTAAGGCCGAGTTGACCTCAGGGAGGCCCATATGTGGGTCAACAGCCCTCAGGGCCCACAGAGGCTCTCATCTAGCAGTGGATTAACGAAAGGGCTGCACATTGTACATTGAATGTAAAAGGCTTGAATGGGCAATGCTCGACACTCGGCGGAACCTGAAAGTGATCAGAATGTGTGAGACGAGACGAAAATGCTGCGTGCATCGACCGTGTAAATGTACAACGCAATGTACAGGCCAACGACAAATAATAATAATTATAATAATAAACAACAATTAAATCAACTCCGTACATATAAAGTTGGTGCTTAATGCTATGGAATATTGAATGAAACAGCACGACAAAAGCGCTCGAGAGGAGCAACACGTGATTGCCAACAATCGAACCGGGTTCATCCTCTCCACCCGACGACTTTGTGCGAAAGAGATGCAGGCACAAAAGCAAAAAGGAGAGGTTCCTTTAACACTGTCCGCACTTTACACGCGCAGGGACTCTCCCACGAGCACGTTAGGTGAGTTACAGCAGCAAACATCGCGCATACTCAATAATGCTCAATCGTTATTAAAAAAATAACTATTTGCTGTACACGGCGGATACTGCGTCGGCAGTGGTGCACAAGCGCAAATAATAATACAAATAAAACTCAACACATTTGTCCATGCCAGCGTGGCCTTAAAAGGAAATATATATGTATAGCACATGAAGAAGGGCCATTGCCCGAAACGTCACCCATTATACACGCTTCCTTGTTAGACCACGGAGTTATTGACGAACGAGTTGAGTTTGTTGTTATTTATACCTCACATGGCGTTGATGTTCAGCAATAATGAGGCGTGGGCATTTGGGTCGTGAGGAGTCGAGTCTTGAGAAGCCCCGATCTCCGTAGCTCTGCACAATATTTGTTTCTGCCACTTTCCAATTGACGTGTTCCTAGAAATTCCCAGCACGTGCTGCGTGTCACCTCTTGGTTGTACCTCTTCGTTCCAGTAAACGTACGAGGTTTCGTATGTGCACGAGATGCCGTCATTGGTACGCTGCCGGGCCAGTGGTACAACACAGTGGCTCCAACAATACAATACCATGAATTATACCTTCCGACGTGAGTCCATGGTTTAGCTCAGGGGTGCAGGGTGGTTGCTGGTGGTGGTGATGGTGGTGGGAGCCAAATTACAATTTGGTTGTGGAGGGGGGTGTGATGGGAAGGGCGGTGAGTAGAGGCACTCCTTAGTTGGGTTCATCCACGTCCACATCTTCGTCGCTATCGTCAGAGGAGACGGTGGGGGGGCTGTCGGAGCGACTGCAGTCCGAGGGGGGCCCGCAGGGATCGGCTCTGGCTCCGGATTCTCCAGACTCCACTTTGCCGTCTGACGGAAGTTCCTGGTGAAGATGAGATTGAGGGCGTGTTCATTGCGATTACGTGAGCACATGGCTTGTTTGAGCACGTGGAGTGAGCATGTGTTCAGAGAGAGCACGTGGCTTTATTGAGCACGTGGTTAGGGTTCAGAGCACGTGGTTAGTGAGCACGTGGTTAGAGTGAGCAGCACATGGCTTGATTGAGCACGTGGAGGGAGCATGTGTTCAGAGAGAGCACGTGGCTTTATTGAGCACGTGGTCAGGGTTCAGAGCACGTGGTTAGAGTGAGCAGCACATGGCTTGATTGAGCACGTGGTTAAAGGGAGCACTTGTCGAAAGAGAACACTTGTTTATAAAAAAGGACGTGTTTAGTGTGAGCACGACCAGAGTATAGACAGTTAAGATTGAGCACGCAATTATTTTGAACACGTGTGGTTAGAGGGAGCACGTGGTGTTAATGATCACAAATCCTAGCCACAGCTAATATCAAGAGGACCTGGAGTGCTATCTGACTCCCACCCCCTCTTCATCAACCCACACTGACCAGCATGGGGGAAGTATGGCCAAACCCCGCGTGACCTAACACGGCGTGAGGCCCGTGCGTACACACGTACGACGTTATACGGTCCATATAAGCCATTTTAAGAAGCATCGACGCCGACTTGTAAAATGTGTCATGTGTACTATTTTATTATTCATTTCATTCGCCCGCCCACAATCCGTTTGTTTTACTGCCGCCTAAATGCGTTCCAGTAAAAAAAAGAAGAGAGCGGAGCAAACGTAGGAGGAGGAGGAGGCTGCTCGTAAAGAGCCGAGTCGCCGAGACTCTCACCTGCTTGAGTCGCCGCCACTTCGCCCTCCTGTTTTGAAACCAGGTCTTCACCTGCATTCGTTCGCGCACACACACACGCACACACACGCACACACGCGCACACACACACGCACACACACACGCGCACACACACACATGCGCACACACGCGCACACGCATTCCGTGAGCGGACACTTGTGCACGTGTGCACTGTAGGTATGCGTGCACCGTATACAAAGCGGTGCCGTGCTACGAACCCGGCGAAAATGAGTTCGATTCCAGCTCATGGCCAACACCAGTGAAGGATATCAGAACCGGTCCTGGGCATCCCCTAGGTCGACTCAGCCTCAAATAAGTACCTGGTGTGGTGTCTAATCATCGCCATTAGGAAGATAAAGGTGACTGGGCGTGGTTCTGGTCACCTAAAACCTCGTGTGCCACCATTCCTGCCTTCATAGGTGCTCGCGAACAGCACTTGACCCAAAAGTCTGTTAAGGCTATACGGAAGACCTTTCGTCTTTAACTGTACATACAACTCGATATTTGCATGCTCTTGCACGATACGCCTTTTTCAATGTTTACCAATATTTTTCGAATTCAAAAGTATTTTTTTACGCACTGCACTTGCCTGATGATTGGTAAACACCCCCCCCCCCCCCCCCCACCATGTAAACAACATCGTATCAACTTAAAATGGAGGTTTTGAGTTGCTGCCTTTGATTGATCCACCGCTGAATGAAGACGCCCCCACGCCTTTCGTTCATGGGGTTATTTTGACCATACTTCACCACGCTGGTCAGTGCGTGCTGGTGACGGACGGAGAAGGGGGTCGGAACCGGTTAAGATGTCGACCGCCATTTTTTTTTTGCCGTGGCCGGGACAGTAACTCCGGTCGCTGGATTCGCAGCGCAAGCGCGCAAACTGCTGTGTCACCGCTCGCCCACTGCAGAGTTCTCTCTCCAACTATGACAGATGCACAAGTCTGCGATCCACGGCAGTGGATTACGAGTGAAAGAAGTCCGAAGCTTGAGTGCAACAACTTCAAATGCAATCCCTCGTAATCCTTTGTAACTGGACTGTGCGTGCATTCAATATGACCAAATCACCCAGAATGCACCAGTGACCTCGTCAAGATCTCAGTAGCTAAGCGGGTTGGAGCCTCTGAAGTGCTGGGAAGGGCGATCCACTGCGCATGACAGGTTGCGAAAGGCGACGTGGCAGTCACCAGAGTGCAGTGCATCAATATCCAGCACCGCGAGTAGTTTACCGCACACTTCACCGCACTCCTGTGCTCTCACGTCTACGCCCTCCTCCGGCCTTCCCCAACCCGCGTGCTGACCAGCGTGGTGTAGTGAGCTCGTAACGACCCGCACGGCATGGGGAGACCCTCACGCAGCAGTGGATTGTCACAAGGCGCCGCCGCACATGCGGTGGGCATTGGCACGCACAGGTACCGATCACCCTAATGCGAGAAGTCGGCTTGTTGACAAACTCAAGCAAGAACCGACACTCGCTCAAAGAGGAATTGTTAACTTCTTGTTTCCCGTGAGAAAATAACAAGGGTGGGCCACGCGCCGAAACCCTCGGCAGCAAATCATAAAAACTGCGAAAAAAAGTGATAACCCACGACAAGCTCCAGTGCAGCAGCAGCAGCAGGCTTCCCCCTAACCCAGTCAGATCCACGTCCACATCAAACACATGATTTGGCAATTGATGCTGCTGCTGCTGCGTTGGCAGTGGTGCACAAAAGACAAAGACCCCCGTGTAGCCTGAACAGAATGTTGGGACAAGTGTCGTTAGCGAGCAACTATGAAGACGGGCACGGTACACGAGGGGGTAGGTGGCCAGCACCACGCCCGGTCCCATTAGTCTCCCCAGTGGCGATGTTTGCACATTGCACTAGGTACTCATTTGACCTACGAGAGACCCGGGGCTGGCTCAGGTAATTGTCACTCGTGTTTGCCACGAGCGGGAATCGAACTCGTGTCGCTGGCTTCATAGCACAGCGCGCTAAACGCTACACTACCGCTCCGCACACGTAACACAAACAACAACAACAATAACAAATGAAACACATTCGCCAACGATAACGCTGCGTGCCCTTAAGTGGGACATATATAAATTATATGCGTACACATTCCACTCTGTCCTTGCGTACGATGGCAGCAACATGGTCGAGGAGCTGAATGGCAATGTTGATGCCCGCTAGCGACGACGAGAGGGCTTCAGGCGAGAGTTGGAGCAGTTTGGCTGCTCTTGCTCTGTCGTAGGAGCGCAGACTACAGCGAGTTTACCGTAAGTTTGGGTTTCATGGCCACAATCGCACTGTGTGGCTTGTCTTTAATGCATCCCCATTGGTTCTCTCTCTCTCTCTACGGTTCTCCAAGTATATCCACGTGTCTCTATGGATTTCACAACATGGCTCCATAGTTTGGGGGTGCATGTTGACGTCCCGTTGCGGTCGATGGTGACGGCTGTGTCTTCGAGGAGCAATGTCAACGCCGGGAGGGAGAGGGGGGGGGTGGCGTGCGACGTTTGGGGGGGTCTCGCACGAGGCGTTTAAACGTTGGGACGTCCGCGATCTTCCAACGCGAGAATCGATTCGTCTAAACGCCACGCACGCTGCGTCCTGTTCCGAACGTAGCGACAACATCGGCAAAACCCGCGGATTCCAACAGCCACCGCCGCTTCTCCCCTCCCTCCACCTCTCCCCTTCCCCGCCCCTCACCTGTCGCTCGCTGAGCTGCAGCAGCTTGGCCAGGCCCTTGCGTTCGCCGGGGGAGAGGTACTTCTGCCGCTCGAACTTGCGCTCCAGCTCCACGGTCTGCTCGCTGCTGAAGCGCACCTGGCCGCCCTTGCGCTTGTGTGCGGGCCGCGGCAGGAAGGGAGCCCACAGCAGCGGTTTGCCTGCAGCGCCACGCGGGAGTTACAGAAGACTCTGTAGCGGTCGTGCAGCGGTCAGCGCTACGCTGCGCTGCGAACCCGGCGACGCGGGTTCCATTCCCGATCACGGCCAACACCCAGCGACGATTATTTGAACCTGGTCCTGGGCCTCCCCTAGGTCGACTTAGCCTAAAAATGAGTAGCTGGTGCGGTGTGTAAGCATCGCCACTGGAGAGACAAAGGCGGCCGGGCGTGGTGTTGGTCACCCACCCCCTCGCATGCTGTGCCGGCCTTCATAGGTGCTCTCTAACAGCACTTGCCCCAACAGTCTGTTAAGGCTATAACGGGGGAACTTTGTCTTTGTAATGCACACACCCCCTCGTGTGCTGTGCCGGCCTTCATAGGTGCTCTGTAACAGCACTTGCCCCAACAGTCTGTTAAGGCTATACGGGGGATCTTTGTAATGCACCCACCCCCTCGTGTGCTGTGCCGGCCTCCATAGGTGCTCGCTAACAACACTTGCCCTAAATGTCTGTGAAGGCTACACGGGGGGCCTTTGTAATGGTTAACACACAATGGCGATCGGGTGTGTGCTCACACTACCTCTGAGTTGGCCTTGGTAGGTACTCGCTAACTGTATACGATGACACGGTGAGTCTTAATAAAGTTGTTCACGCATACCACAGTTTATGAATGATTAAACGTAATTAATTGTCGATCAGAGTGCTTATTATACTGCATCCACGGAAGTGAACACACCGATATATGAACACCGCAAATATATGCAGCACCACACGTGTGTAGTTTATATACGAGGGGTCGGTTAACCAAAATAACGAGAAGAGCCAATTTAGTTCCAATTCGGGAAACAACTCAGCACTATTTCAAGAGCCGCAGCAATTCTAGATTTGGAGTTTTCGTGACTGCAAGGAACCAAAGAGTATGATAGGCGCAGCAACGCACGCGAATGCGAGACGGTGGGGTACAGTATGCTTCAAAATAATGTTAACATTTAGATATTTACGCGATCTAACAAAAAAAAAACTCTATTATGGATGATATTGGTCGCGAAAACCTACGTGTTCAACTTGTATGGGACCATCGTTTTGAACGTAAAAGAACGGATAACAGTTCAAACAGTCAGAGTCTCCAATTGTTCGTCATCATTGTCAACACGTGCCTGGAATCTTCTCCAGATGGTCTCCAGAGCCCGGAGGCACATTTCTTGTGGTATTGTTGCAAATTCTCAGAAGTGTTCACATTTCTTTGAAGCACGCTGTATATACCTACGTGTAGTATAGCGTGTATAATGTATATGGCACGTAGGGGGAGCGGTGGTGTAGCGGTTAGCGTGCTGCGCTACGAACCCCGCGGCTCGAATTCGATTCCCGCTCACGGCCAACATCAGTGATGATTATTTGAACCGGTCCTGGGCCTCCCCTAGGTCGACTCAGCCTCGAACGAGTGTGTAAAAACATAGCTTAGTGTTGACCACCCAACCACCTCGTTTGCCGTGCCGGCCTTCATAGGTGCTCGCTAACAGCACTTGCCCTAGCAGTCGTTTAAGGCTACAACGGGGGTAATCTTTGTCTTTGGTATGTAGTAGAGGCGGGTGCGTTTGCTGTGAATTGTGGGCAAGAGTGGTCAAAAGCTATGCCGATAACGCGTGGGAGGCTTTGACCCGGCCCTGTGGATTTGCAAACGGGATGCGGGACTTATATAATCTGTTTGTATCTCTGCCCGTGGTAGTCCTCGTGGGTGGAGCGGGTGTCATCATCAGTGGTTGTTATTCAGTGCGCCATGCTATGAACCCGGTATCACAAGTTGCTCGTCGCTTTCCTAGCCAGGGATCATAGAGCACCCGCGGTCAGAAGTGAGATCTCAAATCGGGCCTGGGACCCCAACACGTTCTTTCACCAACCGGCACTGACCAGCGTGGTGAAGTATGGTCCAAACAACAAGGCCCTCCCTCCACCCCCATCCGCCAACCCCCCACGAATCATACGGTGAAAGGTGGGTATGTTACCCTGTAACTTGCACTGTTAGTGGATTAACATCGACCATTAAAACTTATTGGTTCTTTCGGTAAAGTCACGTAGAAGGGAAATAATGAAATAATAAAAATTAATAAAATAATTCTCACGACTTTTCGGCCACAACGCAAGCAGCCGTCCTCACGTGAAGAACAGATCTGTTCGGGAAGACAGCGTCTGTTTTATTTGTATTATTTTATTACTTCCCTTCTACGTGACTTTACCGAAAGAACCAAGAAGATGAATCCCTGCAGTCACGAAAGTTTTAAATCGAAATCGACCATTAGAGTTGTTGTTGTTGGTGTTACTCTCGTTGCAGGGCAATCAACGCTCTTTCCTTCCGATGTCAGGACGCCACTGGAGCTGTGGACTTTTCTCAATTGAAAAGTTATTTCTTCAGAACTGCTTTTTGTGTTTAGTGTGTTGTCCTTCCCCCGCTTAGCACGGTTGGCTACGTACGGTGCGAAATAAGTTCATATACATAACGCGCTTCATGCATTATTATTTTTAAGTAGACCATTTCACGACCAAATAAAAATGTGTAACTTTTACACCTACAAGTACATTATGTTGCTGTTAACAATCGCGATACGAAAACACATAGCTGTGGTTTCATCAGAGACCCGTGCATTATTTCAACGTGAATTATAATAACAACAATATACACATCGGCAAACTATCTATGGAATGCAGCATGCAATATTCCAAACTGAGCACCATACGATACGGTACATGCAGGATACATAAACACATAACACAAATGAAAGCAACTCAACACGATCACCAAAAACACTGTGGCCTTAAAAGTAAAATATATAATAGGCGACGTTTCAGGTAATGGCCCTTCTTCAAAGCGCAACAAATATGTTTTGTGTGTACAGTTGTCCTTCCTCGTGCCTCCGATTAGCAACGGTTGGCTACCGTACGGTGCGAAAAAAGTTCAACGCGCATGCGTTCACATACGACGAATGAAGCTCAAAAAAATGAACACCACGCTCTCAATCTAAAACTGCGACCTTCAGCTGGGGGGAGGGTGGTGAGGGTGGTGACACACGCTCTCTGCATCATCAGCACCTTTGGTGGTCACTGTACGTTTCGAGAATTGCAAAAGCAGCACAGAACACGACAGCTCTGGCGAGCGACAACTCCGTTTCTGTACCCACCCCACCCCCGTGCAATTGCAGGCGCGCGGCTTCCGCTTTTCCTGCAGGTGCTTCCTCCTCTGCTTTTATCCTCTTAGCGCACGACTGTTTTCTTTGAGATATATCGCAGTCCTCCACCACCACCTCCTCCTTTGTCATGTTTTGTCCGGGTCATAATCGTATCGGGTTCCACCACAGTTTCTGCAAACGCCGCGGATTACCGCTGCTGCTGCTGCTGTTGCCTGCTGTCGTGACCGACTTAGCTGATCTACGACTTACTCACGACACGGCCCACGAGTTTCCTGCTGCGAATCGCTTTGGGATGTTCTGTGTTCATATGTTGTTTGTTGCGGTTGCACCCGACTTAATAGCCGCATGGCTCACAGGGCTATACCTAATAAATGAAACTTGAACAAATAGCTCCCGCTCGCATACACGGCAATGGGATGGGGTGACGCATGTTCCGCCAGACGAGCCTCCCTCCACAAATAAACAAACACGCACGCACGCCGATGCGACTATGCTCGTTATTTATTACAAACCGGCTGGTGAGTGGGTGGCTGGAGAAGGGGAAGCGGCCACGTGTCGTAGGTGGGCGCAGCAAAGCGAGACGAGGGCGAGTTTCCAGCATTCGCCAGGGTCACGGATAAATTCGCCGCACGCAATCGCGGTGGTGATGATCCGTGGATCAATATACCCCCCAAGCAGAGCTTCACAGACTTCTCTCCCCCCATCATCATCACCCCTCCACCATCACCCCCACTGGAGGAATCCGCTGAGTTTCTAAAGCTATTTGTCCACAGATGTCCAGGATTTGTGACGGCTGTCACGACGAGTCGATCAATATCGGTTCTTAGGTTCACGATGTCGCATGTACTGTCAAAAGTTGTGAGTTTTCCAAGTGATCCTTATCAGCCACTCGTGGCCGCATCATTCGCCGCAACGGTGAATAACAATCGATCGTTGGATGTAATCGCGATGATTAGTCGAATCGCGAACGGACCGTTTCGTTGCATCGCCCTGCAATGCTTGTACATAGCTCAGTGGGCCGTATCTGGTAAAATAAAAATAAATATGTAGTTTACTTTCGTATAGCTTTTGGTCGTTCACAATGCAAGCAGTCGCCCACAGCAAAAGGTCGAAATTTAATGACAATATTTATCTCTCGCCTTGAAGCAACAGGAGAGCTTCACCATTCTTGCCCGATGAAGCTGATTGTAACGATCAGCGAAACGTCGTACTACACAAATTTAAAATGCTGTTGATTCTCTCTTCAGCACACCAGTGGGCTAAAGAAGTGAATTATTTTGTCCTTTGAAAAACGTGACACCTTTTTACTATTTGGCTTTGTCGGGTGGTGGAGGGTTACAACACATTTATAAATAACGCGATCTGACCCAAAAACCTATATTATGAGTATTTATCTATTCAACCGCTCCCATTGCAGTACGTGAATAGATATATTCATAACAGATTCAATCCGGGCAAACTATGCAGCGCTGGATCGAGGGACGTTAACAATTGTATCACGAATTACATTCAGCAAGTTATCAAAGGATTTGGCTCTGCGAAGTGCGAAACTAACGAACGAGATGGGAGGGACATTGACGCCGACTCTGCTGCTGCTGATGAGATACTCTGGTGTCGAAACCGGTCCAGAGTTGTCTTTTGATCGCCTTGAATCAATGCTGCCGGAAATGATGCTGCAGATTTGCGATGTGTGAGACGCAATGCTTGGCATTTGTTGTTTGATGCGTAGAGAGACGGCGTATATATTGTATCGCCCCCCCTTAATGCTGTGCGTTTCCGCTCTTCTCAATGTATGCGACGCTAATGATTGACTTATCAG